TACACGACTGATTTTGGAAACGACTGATTTTGCAAACAAATCATCAGACAATAAACACCCAGTTGGTGAATATGTAAAACATGCAATGGAAAACAGTCACTGAACTGGCGTGGATGAACATGTGAATGTATTTAAAATACGTATTCCACATACAAGTATTTAAATAATGCCCAACCCAGCTCATTACAAATTGTACATTTGGTGCCAGAAATAAATATTTTAACGCAAATATCAACAAAAATTTGACAATTATAACTGTTTTTGATACAGGTAAATTATGTCCCAACAATAAGAAGGAATTCACAAAAAAGAGCTTCCGAGTCATTGCAGCATCCAATCTGATATTCCCTGAAATTTAGCAGTATTTTAACTAGTTTTTAAATAATTTATAAAAGATTAATGTATAAATGTGTGACAAAAGGTCGAATGTAAGAAACGAACAATGATTTATGAAATATATAAATTTCACCATACCAAGCATCCCAATGTCGGGTATTACGACATTGAAGCGCAGTAAATTCGGACCGGGTATTATTTTTTGCCTCCAAATTAACCCATATTCTCACATTTTCAAAAATTTGAACATGACCTTATTTGAAGAACTATTCTCGATAAATAGTTCATTAAGAAACGGCATTGAATTTTTGCAATTATAATTGTAGGAAGACGCCGAAGACGAAGTTTAATGAACTGGGAACGGTCTATTATGTTTCACGTGATAAATACACATATTTTCATACAAATATCAACATAACCTTATTTGTTTTTTACGAACTCATTTCTTTAAGAAAAAATGTATCTTCACAATTTTGTTGTGTAGGAAGAGGCCGAATTATTTTTTAATTTTTTTTTTTAATTTCGCAAAATCAGGCATTTCAACGAACATGAGAACTGCACCACTTTCTTAAGCGTCCTTTGTGCTATCTAAGGTTTCAGTTTAATAAAAAATGTGCGTTTTTTAAGAAAAAGTGGTTTACAGAAAATAAATATTGACACAAATTTCTCAAAAATGCTAATTTTTTTTAAAAAAATCGAGCATGACGTTATTTAAAGATCTGATTTTCATGAACACATTTCGTTAAGAAACAAATTTACCTTAATAACTGTAGTTGTAGGAAGACGCCGTAACAATTTTGAATTTTTTCAATTTTCAAAAAATCAGATTAACCCACAACATGAGACTTTCACCATTTTCTAAAACGTTCTGCAGACTATCCAACAAAAAATGTAATCAAAATTTATGGAACCGTTTTTGAAGAAAAAAAGTGTTTATACAAAATTAAAAAATGCCTATAATTCACGCAATATTACGCGAAAAATACTAAATTTCGAAAAATTGTACATTACCTTATTTCAATATCTTTAAGGAACAGATTTTCAGAAGGGAAAAAAACATCTCTATTTTTAATTTTTTAGTTGTAGGATGTCCCCGAAAAATTCGACTTTTTTTCAATTTTCGAAAAATAAGGGTTTTCAACAAACATGAGACCTACGCTATTCTTATAAACGTCCTTTAGACTATCCAACAACAAAATTTAATCAAAATCATTGGCGCCATTTTTTATGAAAATTTTGAAAATGTACTAGGGACTTTATTTAAATAACCCCCAAAAATATAATATCAATTTCAAATTCAAGGGGCCGCGATGTCAGCCAGATCGACTGGGGAATATCACGTTTGGAAAAAAATCGACTGAAATGTTTAGCCGCTAGCGTTGTTCACAGATGGACAGACTAACGTTTTGCCGTCAATCGAGTTTTCTGTATCAAGGACACACAAAACATGGATTCACCTCGTTTTAGAGGATTTTTTCCCAAATTTATTGGAAACTGGATTTATTCACATTTTCGTTACCAGGGCTCTGTAATAAGAATTTTTTTGCCGAAAATTCGTCGTTTTTTCGCGCATCATTATAAAACGTTCTCTTCTTAAGAGCGAGAAAGTAAAATTAATCTCTAGAATGTAACATTGTAGTCTCGAATATAATGAGTTACATCCCATTAACAAAAGAAAAATATTTACGATTACAGTACAGTTATATTACAGTACACGTTGAATCTGTCACCAGTCATTTGTTTTAACTGGCAACCCACTTGATGTTTACGTATTACATGCTGGGAAGGCCGGAGAAGGAATTTCGTTACAAAAAAAGGAAGGGGGGTGACGTACGTGAAATAGTTCCACTTATTTGAAAATTTTATTCTAATCAATTAGTAATATTGGCCTAACTTTTGAAGGGTACTATTAAACGTAGATGTAAATTTATTTGACTCTTTCATTGAAATTATGGATTTATTGGTTTTTATAAACAAGGTTTCAAGCACAAGCTTCTAATTCTTCCGCGGTTCTGTAGCCAATATTGTAGAATTTTCAAAATTAATTTTATAATTTGTAGAAATTCTGTGTTCAAAGATGGAGTACTGCTTTTCATTAATTTTATTATGTTTTTCATCAATGATACGTACATGTTCACCTATTCTTTCCTTCATTTTTCTTTTTGTCTGACCAATAAAAGAACTATCACAATGATAGCAATCAATCTTACATACATTTTGTTGCTCTACTTTACAAATCTTGTCTTTTAAGTTTTTTATGATGTTTTGTTCATTTATTGCTCTACTGAAAATAAGAATGTTGTACTTTTCTTTGAATTTGTTCAACTCTTTGTCAATGGAAGAAACATAAGGCAAACACAGCTTGTTTTTTCTTCATTAGATAAGTTATTCTGTGAATTATTAATCTTAATCTTATGAATTTGTAACCGTTGGTTAATAGTTTTAGGAATAAATTGCAACGGGTAGTTGTTTTTAGAATAAAACCTTTTTCGGATAAATTAATCATCTTATCAACTTAACTATAAATCACACCTTTGTTTATTGAATAACAGTGTATTCATAGATAATTAAGACAAATGTCTGCACATACTGGTATCATACCTGTATGTCTGAATGTTTTTACTCGTTCTAATTAATTTCAAATCTACAACGTTTAAACATGTTTAGTTCAAGCTCCAGTGTAAATATAATTTGCGAATTATATGAATTAAATTGTTCAAGTGTATGAGAAATCTCACATTCGTTAACAACCATTTGAGTATCATCAACATAGCGTGAATAAAATTTTACGTCAAAACCTTGAAAAACTGTGTTTTCCAATTCTCTTATTGCTATTTCCGCACAAACACTACTAATACAACCTCCAACAGGTAATCCTGGTTTTTGATGGTAGAATTTGTTGTTAAACTGAAATGCGTTATTTTCTAATATGAACTTAGTAGCAAGTAATAATTCTTTATTCGGTATGTTAGAATCGACTTGGCCTTTTCTAATTTTCTTTTCCATGGACTCATATATAAGTTTATGGGGTATTGGTGGGTACATAGAACTAATATCAAGGGAAATAAGTCTATCAGTTTGAGACAGCGATAGGCGAAGATATGCTTTCTTTTAAAATTATCTATTTTAGTACATATTCGTAATCATGTTCTAATCAATTTTTAATTCTAAAATTACGATATTTGCTGAAGGCAGAAATCGAGGAACTGACTGATGATATGACTGGTCTCACTGGATATCCATTCTTATGTACGTTTATAAATTCATGGGCCCGAGATCCTGAAGCAGTAGTGGGATAAATGCGAAAAAACAGATCTTGTAAAGTCTTCATTATCTTATTAGAATTATCTTCGCATATTTCTACATAATTGGTATCAGACTCAAAACAACTTTCTACCTTGGACACGTAGTCTGCCTTTTATATGACGGCTATTGAACCACCCTTACGTGAAGTAATGTAGTTCATATATTTTTGCATGTATGGGGAGTGGAGGATGCAAGGATGAGACAGGAAAATTTCTATATGGTCCGTGGTCCGTTTGTTAAGGTAATTTTTCGGCTTTCGCCTGGTTTTCATCGGAGAAACCACGAAAACCTATCAATCTGAGCGGCCGGACGCAACAATTCTCCTCAAAGAGAAGAGACTGAATTCGATCTAGCTATCTAGTTAGTGTGGAAAACCCGCCATCATCGGGACTCAAACAATAGGATCTCCTCGTTGAACAAGGACGAACAGGATTTTCATGAAACAAATTGCATGATCCATCGGCATCATATGTTAAGTTGAGATAACTCCTTGGACATTTTTAAACTTTGATAATGGAAGATGCACCTGCGAAAAAACCGTAGTAAAAAAAGAAAGTTCAACAACAGTGGCTAAAAAAACCGCAATAGACGAAATAGTTCCCTAATTAATTTTGGATGAGCTGAAATTAACACGTGCCTACCACTTCAAAATCATTACCTCACAAGAGAGAGTCATCATGGCGAGTTAATAGCAATGATTCATAGTGGGCAATCACGGTGAGTTATGTTTTAGATTTTTTATTACAATTTAAAGGTTTAGTATTTTATATATACAATAATTAGGTTATTATAAAAAAATAGTCAACAATTTTTCTTCATTAATTTCTTGTATAGTTTTCCCATTTACGAATTTTTCATATATATTTCAAACTCCTCTCATAGGCCAAGCGGCGAATTATATAATAATGTCTTTTGAGCTGTAGGATTAATAGCAAGCTATAAACATATGTTATAATACGATTATTTTATGTCTACCATCTTTTCGATTTAGTCTTTTTTGTGTACGCTTGGACTTTTTGCTTCCCACAAGCTTCGGCATAACGAGTAGCAAAAGAATGCACTGGATGTAAGCAAGTGTAACTGATATGCAAGCGAAACGATGTTCCAGAATACAAGAAATTAAGAGCGGTAAAACTTTTGAATTAAAACCCTATCAATTCAAATGTTTTATACTACATTACTATTACTTTTTCTAATCATGTCACACAATATACAGAGTATCCTGAGACACAGGCATAATCAATTTTACTGATAACTGTTTTTGCACTAATAGACAAACAAATTCGCATTGGACTGACTAATTCTCAGTAATTTGTACAGAACATAAAGGTGACGATGAGGGTTAGATATATACTCACCAGAAGCTGCGCCATGTGGAAAATCCAGCGCCTTTCAGAGGTAGACTTACAGCTAAGCCTTCTGGGAAATTCTGGATACCAATGCCAATCGCAAGATTCCTGTGAAAAAGGAATGAACTGATTAATTTCTGATTGAATAACAAATATTTTCACAATGATATATTTTTATAATATTCCTACAATATCACGCATATTTCAATTTGACACTCCGGACCATTTAGTTGTTCTTGAATAAAACTGACAATAACTCTTCGATGCTTAAGATTGATATGTGGAATTTACCAAATTTTTAGCGTTGTTAGATTTATACGACGATAACATTTAAAGAAAATTTGGAGCCCTTTTTAAGAAAATAACTGTATAAAAACTTTCTATATTTAATGCAAGATTGCGAAGAAATTACTCTTATTTTCGAAAAATTGCTTTCAACACAACATTAAAATACTAATAAAAATTAATGTAATAGGATTACATATTTTACAGTATTAGTACGAGTATTATGCGTTATGTTTAGAAAATATATTTCATGGGTATTTGTGGATCAAATTACAAGTTTCCAGTGGTCAAAACATCACCCTTATTATTATTATTATTATTATTATTATTATTATTATTATTATTATTATTATTATTATTATTACTTTTTCCATAATGCTATGCTAACGTTTCGTCGAGCATCGTGGGCCTCTTCAGAGCTCTCTTTTATTCTACTGGTTGAAGAAACTTTCAACATGAACATGAAATATTGTATATCTACGTGGTAGAACTGACATTTTTTAAATATAACTGAAACTAGAGTTGTGTACAGTACACTACACACGAAAATATCATTAACATAAAGAAAATACGAAATCATTATTTCGACATCCTAATATGAGAATGTAATAAATTGTCAACGAGAGCCACACTACACTAAAAAGAGCCGCATTTATCCACCGTTGATGTAATGAATAATGTTAACAAACAAAAGTAAAACTCTGTTTGCTATTGGAAAATTAAAAAGAGCACGCATGGCTTACAATAGAGATTCGCTTTGTATCTGCCTATTACCTTGTTACGTTTTGATAGTAATTTGCCTATTTTTACCTTTTATTTTTATGACCATTATTTTCCTTATCGAATGCTTAACACAAATTATAAATGGATGAAAAAAATTGGTACTCTCGCAAATATACGGATGAACCATTTCAATATGAACAAATAACTAAATACGCTGCTGTGTACGACCGACTAAACCCGCTGAATCGTGGGCGAACGAAGAAGCAGAGGTTACGGAAGGTAACCTCAGTCATCACTGCTGTAATTATCGTACAGACCGTGATGTAGTACGAATCTAAAATTGCAAATAGATGACCAATGGAAGATCCGCTTAAATAATGGCCCAGATCTCCCTTTCGTTGAAATCGCCGTTTTTTCGAAAATCGCTAGAGTTAAAAACATTTCGACGTCTTCCTACAACTACAATATTGAAGATGGAGATTTTTTCCCTAATGAAATCTGTTATTCAAAGGCAGATCTGATCAAAGACAGGGAATGCAAATTTTGTAGGAAAAATAAATACGTTTTGTGCATTTTTATGTGAAATACGTATTGGCAATTTTAAAATAATTATTTCCTAAACATGACTCCAAGTTTTTCTTTAACTTTTCTCCTTTGTGTATCACCAGGCCGTATAAAAAACGTACTGGCCCCACTTTCGGGGAATTCTGCATTTTTCGAAAATTGCAAAAAAATTAACATAGGAAAGGTACAATAATGAAGATGGAGATTTTGGTCATAAATGAAATCTGTTCTAAAAAATGAGATCTTTGAAAAGTTACAAGTATGTTTATCGAAAAACTAGTGGTTTTGCGTTATTTCTGCTTAAAGTTAATGCACTTTATTAAAATAATATGCTCTCAAGAAAGTCTACAATTTTTTTCATTGTTTTCCGTGGATATAACAAAAGGACTCTTAAAAATGGGTCAGGTCTAAGGTTTGTGGAACTCTGAACTTTCGAAAATTGCAAAAGTTAGATATAATGCGAGGAAGAGTGTGCTGTTCTGGAACCATTAGTTTAAAATTTAATTTTTATTGAAGCGTCGTCTAACTTTGCTTTCAACAGCGCATTGAAAGCTTTCTGAGCTAGTTTCTGGATTGAAGTGGAGGAGCGAGTGAGTGGGCTTTGTCAAAATAACATACTGAAGGGGAGAGCTTTATTAGTCATTATAATTATAACACACGACGAAGAGCATCGCATTCATCACAAGTACCGACTATCAGTAGCCGCCGACAAAAAATCGACATTTAATAAATGTTCAACAGATTGATAGATTACCCTTCTTGATAAGGATTTTGTCCAGTTTCCCTTGATCCATTGAACAATAGCTCAGATAGTCCCTTGATTTACCATCCTATCTCCACCACCCCTTTACTATAACAATCAAACAGGAAAGAAGGAAACGATATTCTGCGATGATCCCTGATATGACAGGTTTCGGCGTCAGTACGAAATAAGGCAAACATCAGCTGGAGGGGAAATACATTCACTGCTCTCCTACCCTGTGCCGCAGTGCTTACATCGACAGCTATACTAAAAACATTAGATCACGCATATATCGATTTTCATATAGGTTAACTCATGACTGTTTTAATAAATGGCAAGCATGGCGAAACGCGATCGTGAATCTCAGCAAGTTTTCTCGATGTAATATCCACTGTAGCAACGGTCACGGAGAGCCAAGCACTTTTCAACGTTCAGTCATCTATGACAGTTAAGTCAACGTACAGTCATTTACGACAGGGGCAGATGCAACCTTCAACACTTCTGCCTCGCTTTACAAGGAATCATCGCGATAGGTACAGATCGTTTCAAGTCGTGTGACACCTGGTCCACGCAACAGTACTAGTAGATTTCCCCTGCTACCCGGCACGGTTCATTGTCAATCGTCCCTATTGGAAACATCGTTCCATTAGCCTAAAAAAGTAGCATTATTTTTTACATGCATTCATTGCACCGAATCCGTTCTTTTGCTTGTTATATTGACAATCGAAGTGACGGGAAAGTTAGTCATAACTTCCTGGCAAAGCGCATTTGTTGCATGCATGTATGCAACAACCATAGGACATGACATTGAAAAAATGGAATTTCAATACTTTAGTCCCAATCCAAGAAAAATGGTTTTGGAACTTAACACATCAGAATTTTGTGATTTTAACTTTCCACAAATTCCTAACCATAAGAAAAAAGATATAGTCAATTAATTTATCAACAATAGTCTATATAAAGGATTATAGAATATATTAAAATCGATTGGCACTTGATTGTATCAATCCCCTTCACTAATATACCATGATACAGTACAATTTTTATAAGCCTAAAAAACACTTTTTACCATTCAATATAAGCACATATGCAGGGGTGTAACTGATACATTAATATTAGAATCGAAATAAATTAAAAAAATGTGAATGTGTTGAAAATATTAATGTATTGTAAAGTATTGGGAACGCGAAAGTGCTGGAAAAAAATTTGGAGTAGATACCATCTTTACGAAACATTACCAGCCCCATGGTTTAAAAAGTTAATTTCAAATGGTTATGAGGTAGCAAAAACGTTTTTTGCGTCCACGACTAGCCCAGAATATGGCGGAAGAATTTTTGAATTTTAAGAAATTAGGGATGTTTTTATCTTTTGTTCTAGGTAAAGACCAAATTCGGGATTTTGAAAAGTGTCTCTATTTGCTTGTTTCGATGGTGTAAACATTTCTGATGGTAAGTCGGATAGATAGCTTTACCAAACCTATTTTAAAATGTTAATCTCAGGAGTGTTGGAAACTTTTGAATTTTGAGAAATTGGGAAATTGCGCGCGAGAGAGAGAGAGAGAAAGAGAGAGAGAGAAAGAGAAAAGAGAGAGAGAGAAAGAGAAGAGAGAGAAAAAGAGAGAGAAAGAGAGAGAAAGAGAGAAAAAGAGAGAGAGAGAAAGAGAGAGAGAAAGAGAGAGAGAAAGAGAGAGAGAAAAAGAGAGAGAAAGTGAGAGAGAAAGTGAGAGAGAAAGAGAGAGAGAAAAAGAGAGAGAAAGTGAGAGAGAAAGAGAGAGAAAGTGAGAGAGAAAGAGAAAGTGAGAGAGAAAGAGAAAGTGAGAGAGAAAGAGAGAGAAAGAGAGAGAGAAAGAGAGAGAGAAAGAGAGAGAAAGAGAGAGAAAAAAGAGAGAAAGAGAGAAAAAAGAGAGAAAGAGAGAGAGAGAAAGAGAGAAAGAGAGAGAAAAAGAGAGAGAAAGTGAGAGAGAAAGAGAGAGAAAAAGAGAGAGAAAGTGAGAGAGAAAGAGAGAGAGAGAAAGTGAGAGAGAAAGAGAGAGAAAGTGAGAGAGAAAGAGAGAGAAA